GAGTGGCCTCGAAGGCCTCTCGTAGTGGACCATGTTTTCTTTCTCAAATAGGGGCGTATCATTCACTCTTCAGGTCATATCTTTGCTAGTGTTTAGGTAACAAGGGGGAAACTCCACTCAGTTTTAACTTTGATCAAACGGCAATTGTTTTTTTGAAAAAAAAATTCAGAACACGTTAACAGCAACAAATTCCAGAAGCGATGTAGATCACGAGTTTGCGCTGTTGTTCACCGTCCTGGATGAAAACGAGAGTTGGTATTTGGACGAGAACATTGACACATATTGCAAGAATCCTGGAAACAAAGATCAGCTCAAGGATGACGAGGATTTCCAGGAGAGCAACAAGATGCACGGTGTGAATGGTTTTGTGTTTGCCAACGCGGACGGTTTTAAGATGTATCAGAATGAGAAAGTGGACTGGTACCTACTTGGTATGGGTAACGAGGTCGACATGCATACAGTCCATTTCCACGGTCAAACATTTCTACGTGTAAGTGACCATGAAATTTATACCAAAATAACTGATATATCCTGGCCTAAAGATAATAGAAGCCACCTATATTCTTGTTTAAATGTAAGTCCAAACATGGTTTGTAGAGCTGAATGGTTCAGGCAATTGCAAGCGAAAACCAAAGTCACAACGGTGTTGAGGTTTATGTCTGTGGCCTCCAGACCTTTTCGTTTTTGTGTTCATTCATACAATTATAAATTAGTTAATCAATTTGATTTTTCCATTACTCAGCCATTTTAACATGATTGGAATGCTATCGAATATTTTGCACGATCAATTCCAAAACGCCTGACAAAGACAGCAAAGAGTTCTGCTGGGTTCTATAACCGGTGCGCTTCACCAACTATAGTCCTAACAAGTTTTAACGTACAGGTTCTCTCGTTAAGTAAACTTTCTGTGCTGTTTACTTCAACGGTTCTTGCTAGAAAAAAAATTTTAAAGTAGAGCTCATCCGCATTAGTGGGAAACTCCTCTTTTTACAAACATTTCTTTAAATTTTACTAATTCAAATATTTTTCTATAGAAACATGTCGGCTATCACCGCGAAGATGTGTACGATCTCTTCCCAGGAGTCTTTGCTACCGTGGAGATGATTCCTGATAGTGTGGGGGTCTGGTTGCTTCATTGTCACGTGAACGATCACATGGTCGGTGGAATGCAAACGCTTTATACTGTTTATGGTATGTCTCATTTCTTTTAGATTCTGGTGAAAACCTCTGTTAGCTACGCCTAAAAACTTCTGGTAAAGCAAAATTTGATGCAGATTGAAACGTGAAGATATTTATTCTAATTTGTTTAAAGTTTTGCATCTTCTGTCACGGCATCGGTACTTGACTGTAAAAACGATCGTCTAAAAGTAAACTGACGTATACTTTACACATTTACGCTTCACTTGCGTAAATCATATGTTAAATTGTGCTAGGGAAAAAGTTATTTGTTACATTTAAAACATCTTTTTTAACAGACGAATCATTGAAAACAACAACTCCAAGCAAAACAACAACTCCAAGCTCCATTGATCCCAGCGCTGGGGACCTGACTGCGGGAAGCAGTTTCTTCGTTTGTTTGCTGTTGGCTGTGGTTGTCATGATGATCTAAAACGAGAAGGACGGCGTCGAAAAGCAAGCGGATAGCCGCCCTATGTGGATTCGAGAGCAAGTAGTGATAACACTAGAAAGTAGAAAATAACGATTAAACAGAATTAGATGCGGTATCACTTGCAGCCTCGAAACAGAGGTGCCTTAGACTGTAACAAGACTTTTGGGGTTTTGAAAAATGTGACCCTTTTTGAGCCGACAGCGAGAACTTTCGCTCAGAAAGAGGTAGCTGAATGTGTCTAGTTTTAAAAACTAACACAATTCTGCTCAGGCACGATGAAACGAAGGTCCTTAAAAAAAAGGGGTGAGTTCTAAATTCCATTTCCTCACCCAGACTTTGCCCATATTAAACTTCTAGGCTTTTTTTTATGTTGACCCCAGCCCTATTCTTTTGTTTTGTTTCCAATTTGCAATCCCAGTAGCCCAAAGGTCATTCACAGACAACTCCGGTGTTCCATCTTGCCTTGTCAGGTCTCCCTATTTCAAAATATGGCCTTTAAAATAGTCTTTGTGTTGCATGACTACCGTATAGAATTTAACATAAAAGTCTCTGAATTTAGTCCTCGTAGGTTGGCCAGTTTATTGATTTCCTGAGAAGGTCAGGAAAAAAACAAAATAAGCTTTGTTACGAACGTCTTGAAGAGTCAGGAATGAAATTCAAAACTGGTTTTTAACTAGAATTAAAATTTTTAGCTCGTAAGCTTAAGGTAGATGAGGTTCCTCTCAGTATTTTTTCTATTTTTTTTTTTCAGTAAAAAAAGGAACTTGCTTAAAACTTGTTACTCCATTAAAAATAGAGAAACAAATGCATAGACAAGTAATAAAAGAAATGTGAGCATTATTTTTACTTCGTACATTGAACTTACTATAAGGATCGCTTATTTTGGGTTTACTATTCAGGTTGCAAACGCACACTCAAGCCCGGTCGTCAGAAATATGACAAGATGTCACGGTTCGTCTTGGTAACTGGAATGAATTCTTGATATAGTAGGTAGACCTTACTAGAAGTCATTAAAGAGTGGCGGGTCACAGTTTCGAACTTCCGTGCGTCTTCATGTAGTGACTCAAACCACTGCTCTTCTTTACGTATCAGCGGGCTGAAAATCTGAGAAGAACCCATAGATGGAGTATATAACACAGGCAAAGATTTACTTCGCGAAGATTCTTCGGAATTGCGCGTGTTTGCATATTTGAATGATTGGAGCTTGAACAAAATATCCTTAAAAAGGAAATGGGGGGGACTCCATGATGTGTACTATTTGCTACCTGAATTTATTAGAGTCCAGTTGTCGAACAACATCCTTCATTGGTGAACTTTGTAAGTTGAATCTCAACTTTAGTTCACGTGCTCGAAGATTAGCTGTCAAATGTCTTAAATCATAGGCAATGAGTTCGTTTTTGTTTATTTGTAAGATTCTCGTGAAAGTTCTTGTGTTTATTTCCCGTCAAGAAATGTTTAATCTTCCAAGGTCAGTTTATTGCATGCTAACTCATCCCTACTAGTTATACAGAAGCGTTTGCCAGAGCTAGCAGATTTGTAAACGAGGAAATGCAAATTAAGGTGAACCAGCCGTACATCGAAGTCGGCTTCGGTGGAAACGAGCAGAAACAGAAGCAGTAATAGTTGGTTCAGACTCAAAGATCATAGAAAAACTGAAAGGAAAGGTTAAGAATCAAAGAGAGCTTTCGGTAACGATATAGCGACGCAAGCTCTGTTTCCATTTTTTTTTCTTTCAAGAAATTGGACGGGGCCTTAAAAAACAGACAAATTCGATCAATTGAAAACTAATTGATGTCCACTTGCATCCGTTCTTTGATCGCGTTATGTTTATAATGCGGACGAAATTTGCTAACGAAGAGGACAAGACAACGACACTTATTAGGAATATTGCGGAGGGTTCGAAAGAAAGTATCATGGCCTCGTTAAGTTTTGTTCCCAAGTTTGTTCGACAAGACTTTTTCACTTTTGTTCATAGAACAACTTAACTAAACCTTGCCGGTGTAATTAAAGATTTTGTGCGTTAGACATCTGTAGCCGGAGAGGTGTTTTATAGAATACTACAGAATGTTCCGTTGTTTACCTAGTTATGATTGGTCCTGTGCTGATTCATACTGACACTGTGGAATGTTCTAGACTGTCAAATTGTTTATATATTGAGCAAAGCTTATTTCCAGCTGTTGTCGTTATAAGGGGCTAAAAAACTCTGCATTTCATTCACCTCGTACACCATACGTGTTTCTCTTTGAATTGGACTTTACCCTCTGATTATAAACTCACTGATGCGAAAATTGCCTTCTAACCCGAGGCAATTATCTAAGGAAAAGCGAACGAATGTTATGTGTGCGAATCCAAACATTTGAACTATGCGCGATTTGTACAGCTTTGTTACAGCAAACTGACCTAATACCGTGACCCTTCAAGACGAAATTGTGTTGGGAAACATATCAGGTATAAAAGGGTTGCTATAATTTTACCAACAGTGCGGTCATTTGTTATTCTAACCTCAGTATACCCTGATCTTTTACCGTTATCAACAAAAAGAACTTAACTGTGTCGAAGAATGGGTGTATTCACATCTAACCAGCTGTTTACAGCTGCTTCCATCACTGGTAAGATGTCAGATATCCGCGTTGTTCGAAAAGGCGATGCAATTGCATCACTTTTTTCGCTTGCAATTTAAGTTTAAGTAGTTTGCGCTTCTTTTGAGTTTAATTTATTTCACATTCTTTAAGATGTAAATCTTTATGTTGCTGTGACACGGATCAAACAGCTCGTTTATAGATTAACCTGACGAACGCCTTCTCAAGCTTGCAAGACTGCGTTTAGCATGGCAAGGAGTCTATTCGTAATTCTGATAATATTAAATACAATTGTTTTGCTCATTTTATTTTGATAAGCTGGACATAATAAACCGAATCCAATGCGTGAAAGTTCATCGTCTGATGACATCAATGAGAGAAAGGGAAGCTTGATTTTGAAACATCGAGACACAGGGTAGCCTAGAAATTACGGCTTTGTGGTGATTACTTTGTAGACGCTGACCTTTTTAAGCTTCGCGCTTAATGAAAATGTCTGTAATGCAAAGAACTTTAAGTTTCGAATTTATTTCTGTTTCATCATGGATTTCATTTCATCTCGTGGTCAAAATCCTGTCTCGTCCCAACCCCTTCTCGTCAGGAGGAAATATGTCCCATTGTTATCTCTTGCTTCTCTCCTATGTTGTTGCTGTGTCATAAAAACGTACAGATGGAAAGCAGTCCACCTCTTACCTTCTCCAGTTCAGCCTAGTAACTCATGGATTTTTTTTTCAGTTTTAACATTATTCTTCAACAAAGGACACTGCGATTCAAGTGAGTTTCAAAGACAACAAACCCATAAATTGCTGTATAATCTACTAATTCAGAATAAATCTATTCAGCTGATAGCATAATATTAAATTTCAAGGCTTAAACTATTTAATTCAAAAACTGAAATCACCTGCACAAGTGCTTTACCATCTACATTTGAAGTAAAAAAAATAATGTTTAAAATTCTATGCGTGCTGGACATACAATACACGCATTCAAATTTCATCTTTGCACCCTCACCTACACAATGGAATTGAGCTCGCGTCTCCTTTGCTGGCAGTTATACGAGATTTTAGCATTTGAGATGTCGCTCAAACAGAGTCGGTTAGACTAAGAGAAATATTTTTAAATTTGATTTCTGTTTAAGGTCTTACACTTCTCATAACAATGCTGCCAAGATTTGCACGGTATAGTGATGAAGTATCCTAAGAAAATGGAGCACATCGATTTTCAGAAATAGGGCTAACATGGAGCCGTTATTTAAAGATCCGCCATTCGCAAAGTTTTCATTGCAGTAAATCAAAAGAGTCAATAATTATATAAGGGACATAAAGCGGTTCATGAAACTGAAGCTGACAATATTAGACCCACGTTTTCCAGCTTTGTTCTTCACCGGGCAACTTTATAACTTGATGACAAACGAGACAAGTAATGCCGAGCTTGCGCAGGATTTCTCCTGTTCTCGTGTATATGCATTCTCTTTTTTTTGGATTCCTATTTACTCGCCCAAATATGTAATGCCTTGACCTGAGCCTAAAGTGCAGTTTATCGTGCGGGCGGAAAGTAAGTTTTTTGAGTGGAGTTATGGACAGACGGAACGAGCTTTAGTCATGACTACAAAACCAAATTTTCATTCGATTAATAAGATAACAGATTTCCTTAAGTATAGGGCTTCGCTGAGGAATTTCCGCTCTGGCTCCAGTTCACCCTAGTTCGAGTCAGCGAGGGTTCGAGTCATTCGGATTCGAATGTATCAGTGATATTTTGCAAATAATCTCCATTTTGGGAAAATTAGCAACTTGCCACTCAACGAAGGACAAGTTCGATTGAGGAGAATCCATCCTAGGAGTTTTTCTCGCAAAGTAAAATATAGTGCAAGTTCTACTACTGTTGCCACATTGTAAACAATACCGAATTTGCAACCAAACAAAAAAAGATTTTTAAAATTTACTACTGAAATGGCTAATTTCCAAACAAAATTCAACTCAGGCTATCCATGCTTAGTCAGCATATACTGAAAATTAGTGAACTGCAGACAATTTAGGGAAATAAAGTCAGCATTTACGCTTACTACTTTTTTCTCCCAATAGTTTGTCCCAATGGAATAACGAACATCACAGGCTCCATAAGAACGCTTGTGTACCCTGAGTCAGGTAATTATGGTGTGAATGAGACCAAATGTTGGCGAATTAAAGTTCCAGACACCTCTGACTACATCATATATTGTTTTTCAAGGTATGTTTCCTGTGTCGACGCTCTACAGTAACATCAAGAGATTAAAAACTGAGACGTTTTCCCCGTGACCCATGATAATTTTACTATCTCTTG